TAAAGTGCTATCCAGCGTACTGTGTGAACGACTGAAGCCAATGGTCAATGATATTATTGGACCATACCAACGCGGCTTCAGACCTGGTAAATCCACCATTGAACAAATTTTTACTATGCGCCAAATCCTAGGAAAAAAACCCACGAAAAACACATCGACACATTCCACCTATTTGTCGACTATAAGGCCGCATTCGACAGCCCCATCCGTTCAGAGGTCTATAAAGCCATGTCTGCAGGATAACTTTAACTGGCACAAAATCAGCAGTTAAAGTCGGAAAGGACCTCTCGGAGCCCTTTAATACCGAACGAGGATTCAGACAAGGTGACAGTTTGTCGTGTGACCTTTTTAACATCCTGCTGGAAAAGGTCATTCGAGAGGCAAAAGTGAACAGAAATGGCACTTTGTACACCAAATACCTATATACCTTGGCACCGCCATAAACAAAACGAATGACATCAGTTTTGAAATTCGGAGAAGGATAGTGATGGCCAACAGCAAACAACTCAAAAGCAAGGCCACCTCCCGCCAGACCAAACTCACACTCTACAAGACGCTGATACTACCCGTGCTGTTATATGGATCTGAAGCATGGATACTTGCGCAAGCAGATGAGGCAGCTCTTGGAGTGTTTGAGAGAAAATTTCTCCGAAAGATCTATGGGCCGATCTGCCTTGACGGTGAATATCGCCGTCGAATGAACCATAAGTTATACCAGCTACTATCGGACATCGACATTGTTAGACGTATTGAGCAGCAGCTACTTCGTTAGCTAGGTCATGTTGTGAGAATGGATGAAGATGCCCCAGCCCAGAATGCATATAATGGTTAGATGGTTCACGCAGAAGGGGAAGGCCACGAATAAGATGGAAAGACCGAGTGGAAGACAACATTGCCGAATATGGTCTTTCAAATTGGAAAAACTGCACAAAAGACCGACGCGCCCAGAAATTTTTTTTAAGCTCGGCTCATGGAACGAAAGTTCTGTCACAAGCCAGCTAAGCAAGCAAGGTTCGACTCCACTGTCCTGGTCTTTTGTAAATTACTTTAATAACATCCGAAACCAAAACCTACAATAGAAAGTGACAATTATTTAATAAAAATTTTCAATTGTACAACAAAACCACAAATCCTCCACATTTTTCCCATTGGTTAATTCAGTTTTGATTCATGCTCACACACAAATGCAATCAAATTATTTTATTTGCTTAATTTCATCATATATTTTATATTTGCTATTAAAAATAAAAAAATACAAAGTCATACGATCAATTGACAGCTAGACCGGCAGCCACTAAGCCAGCCAGCACCCAGAGCAGCACACATTCATCCAACCATACATCGGTCACACATAAAATCTGGATGTTTTTGCTTACAAGGAAGTTGTGTTGTTCGCAAATTGGAATACAACAGCTTTGTCAGAAGACTTTTGTGCCGACTCGACAGACCGGGTGTGGGTAGTGGTATTATGCGTATCAAATTCTCTACGACTTAAATTTCAATTGAAATAAATTCTTTCTTGATTTAAATTTTTTTACTTACAAAAAAATATTATTTTCTTCATCTTCATATAATGACGGATTTTTGTTATGAATTGTGCGAGAGAAAAAAACATAAAACACCGTGTAAATGAAAGGAATTTGTGGCGTGATATGCGGGTGTGATGTGAATATTAGGGTGGGTGGGGTTTACAAATATATGTTTTGTTGAAGATGCAATTAAGAGATCTGACAGATCATTAAAATTTTGCAATTTTTCATTTTCGAATCTCTCCCTTTACAATTTACAATTTTTTAAATAGTAAAATGTTTCAAACATTTTCCCATCCACCCTAATGTTACACTTTTTGTTTTTCAATAACAAGCAAGCCACTAAATGATCTTTTGTTATGAACTGTTTATTTGTTTTTTTTTTGTATTTTAATTTTCTTATACGATATAGCATTGTATTTAAACAAAAGCATTTCAATATTTATTGTAAATTTATATTCTCAATTAGATAAGTGTAAAGAAGAGAATGAATTTGAATGAAATTACACACGTCATCGTCATAATATGGGCCCATATACCGATCGATCGACCAACCAATAGAGATGTGTCAAAATCAAATAGATAAATATTTTATCATTATTATTTAAAATATATAAGTTTTATATCAATCAAAATTAATTGTGAAATTGTAATCAACATTTCAAGGTGATGCGCATTACCTTTTTAATAAAATAAATACTTTTTACGGAACCACAAAAATGTTTTTATACACATTTAATTGAATAAAAATCAAGCTCAACCGGTTTGCATCAGCATCCGAAAAAGTAATTCCGATTCAAGTTCAATAAAGTTCATGGAACAAGTGAGAACAGGTTGCAGTCAGAGATCACAAAAATGGTGATAATAATGTACAAATAAATGCCTAATGTTGCAAATAAATTGTCATGGCAAATATAAGTGTAAACATTTCAAGTCATTGAGAATTGTCTCCTTTATGAATATAATTAATGGTCTTTTAAACGATTTGGATTCAAAAGCTGCATATAAATAAATGTAATTAAATTAAATTAGTGTTCAAAATTGATTTATGATTTCTTAGAAGATGATTTTAAGAAATCCAGTGGCATTTGTTTAAAAAAGAAATATTGGAAACAACAATTTGCCAAAATTAAGACAAATCGATAGCCGGGAATATTAAAAAAAATTTAAATATTCCATCTACATTAAAAAACTCTTCTTGAAAATCTTAAAAAAGCGTTCATTGAAAATGACAATTAAAACCAGTAAAGGAAGTAGTAAAGTCGGACGGGGCCGACTATATGATACCCTTCACCACTTTGGGTATATTCAACAGATGAATTCTAACAGACGTTGCATTTTTGAAGACCAGTAAAGTGGAATTGGTTCCATAAACATGCCTTTCTGCAAACTATACTACATTTTTCATTTGGTCGGAAAAAATTATGTAAATCAATTTAAAGCAAATATCAATCGAAGGACACCCGTTGATTATTTGGATAAACATCTGATAAACATGATGAGTTTGGTGTAGCTACTATATCTAAATCTGAACCAATTTCAATGAGACTTGCCAGAGATTAATTTATATTACCTACAGTTCATTGTACAAAATTGTGTGATCATCGGACAAACTTTGGGTCTTTAGTGCACAATTTACATAAAATTGGAAGAAAAAATATATAGGAGCTATATTTAAATCTGAACAGATTTACACGAATCTTAAACCACATCATTCTAGGCTTAATTCAGTACACCATGCCAAATTTTGTGGAAATCGAAAGATATAAAGGACTTTGGTACATCATTTACATTAAATCGTACGAAAATATATATGGGAGCTATATCTAAATCTGAACCGATTTTCACGAAACTTAACACACATCACTCTAATCTTAATTCAGAAGGCTGTGCCAAATTTCGTACAATGCAAAAGAAATATAGTGTGTTTCGTGCACAATTTACCTTAAATCGGACGAAAATATATATGGGAGTTATATATAAATCTGAACCGATTTTCACCAAACTAAACACACATCATTCTAGACCTAATTCATTACGCTGTGCCAAATTTCGTGCAAATCGAAAGATATATAGGGACTTTGGTGAGAGACTTTGTTACACCATTTTCCTTAAATCGGACGAAAATATATACGGGAGTTTTATCTAAATCTGAACCGATTTTCACGAAACTTAGCACACATCATTCTAGGCTTAATTCAGTACGCTGTGCCAAATTTCGTGCAAATCGAAAGATATTTAGGGACATTAGTGCGCCATTTACCTTAAATCGGACGAAAATTTATATGGGAGCTATATATAAATCTGAACCGATTTTTATGAAACTTAGCACACACCATTCTAGGCTTAATTAAGTATGCTGTGCCAAATTTCGTGCAAATCAAAAGATATATAGGGACTTTGGTGCACCATTTACCTTAAATCGGACGAAGATATATATGGGAGCTATATCTAAATCTTAATCGATTTTCAGAAAACTTAACACACCTCATTTTAGACCTAAATAATTGCGCTGTGCCAAATTTCGTGTAAATCGAAACATATATAGGGACTTTGGTGCACCATTTACCTTAAATCAGACGAAGATATATATGGGAGCTATATTTAACCATGTGTCTATCTCGTTTCCTTTTTCCTGTTACAAACATATGCACAAAGATATAATACCCTGTAACACAGTGTGGTGAAGGGTATAAAACTGGTATCTTTGTAAATTGTCTTTCTAACGAAATATCAATTCAAGACACTTAGGTTAGGACCTTTGTATCGGTACTATGTTTACATATATTGACACTTTTCCCCACCAATAATTGGCTTTGTTGATTTGTTGATCGTTCATGAGATGACTCTCTTTTGACGTATTTTGTTTGATTTTTTGTTGGCAATAAAAATATCGGTTCAACCGAATATACTTGTTAATTTTTTTATTATTTATTTATTTTTTGTAATATTTATTTATATTATTTACTAATGTTAAGTTGTTTGTATTATCTGTTAACCACCTGTTAATATAACAGCTGTAATACACTCTTCTAATTATTTTCTTTTGCAATTGTTTTGCCCATTTGTTTATTTATTTTCTCTCTCTCTCTTCTCTTTTCATGTTTTTTTAACTTTCCTCGATCTCACATAAAATCAAATGGTGGGCAAAAAAATATCAACTCTCCCCCAATTCCTTGGATATGTCGTTCTCCCCAATTTTTTGCGGTTATTCATTGATAAAAAAACAGTTAGCTGAGTGTGTGCGAGAGAGAGAGAGCAAAGGAGCGGAGAACAAAAATCACCGTCGTCGTCGAATACAAAACAAAAACAGATCGTTGCTCAAGTCATTTTGGCAAACTGTTGACAACTTTCAAGGTTGGGCCATCGGGTTCTGAACGACCAACTCAGAAAAAAATAATAAAAACAAAAACATTTAAACGACGCGTTACGACGTTTGGTAGTTTGTACAATACGTTGTTGTACTTTTCGTTAAAGTTTCCGGTTTACCGGGTTCCTGCCGCCGCGTTATGACTTCGCAGCAATGCATTTGCATCAAACGGTTCCTAATTGTCGGCATCGGTTTTCTGTCGATCCTGGCCGGTGTTTATTTGTATGTCAATTGGATAGCAATGTTTACGGAAATGCGTGGAAAGGTAAGTGAATTAGTGGTTGGGGGAAAAAAGCAGCCAAGTGAATGTCAAGTGGAAAACATAACACACAAAAAGCAGAACAAGATGTGGATTATGTGCAAAATGTGTACAAAGTGTTGGAAAACAACTTGTCATTTGTTTTAATTTTTCAAGAATTTTATTGTGATTTTTTTGAGGTTTCCATTTATTGTTGCTTTACCTTTATCTAATCTCTGATCGGTCGCTGGTGAAATTTAGAAAGAAAAAAATTTGATGATAACCAAGTTTTTTGTTTCCGAACTGTTTAGTCTTAGTGTCAGTCAGTGCTGGTATTTAGAACACTGAAGTGTAATGAAAATGATGAAGAACGAAATTAAAACAGCAAAAAGGTATTGCGCAAAATAAAATAAACAAACAAACAAATTTGAACAAAATTTTGCAGTACAATGAACTTTTTTAAGGGTCCATAAAAATTCACAATATTATGTGACAAAGGGTATCTTTTTTGTTGCTAACGATTTAAACGTGTTCAGTCATGTCATAAAAATTAAAAGTAATTATAACAATAAAAAAATTAAAAGTAATTATAACAATAACTAAATTGATCTGAGGGTTGAAGGTTCATATTTTTTTTTTTGGATTTTAGATGTCAGACAGATTAATTGCCAATTAAAGTCTAACTATTTTTTCTAACTGTCTCTACATAAATGTTTTCCAATGCCATGGGTCATAGTCATTTTAGTGCAAGAACCAAGTTCCACCTTGGGTCTGATAATGACTTTGTAAATACAAGAGGCGGCTGGGAACCATGGTTAAACAGAAAATTAAATTCAATGGCTCGCCAGCCTCATTTATAAATGTCTCTACTACAAACTATACCTATTTGTATACCCTTCACCACACTGTGGTCCAGGGTATTATGTCTTTGTGCATATGTTTGTAACAGACAAAAGGAAACGAGATAGACCCATAGGTTCCTTTTGAGAATATGCACAGAATCACTTTCTGAGTCGATTTATGCATGTCCGTCTGTTCGTGTTAAATTGTAAACAAATTACAGGTCGCATTTATAATCCGATTTGGATGAAATTTGGCACAGCTCATTTGTTTGGACTAACCCTATTGAAATTGGGAAAAATCGGTTCAGACTTAGATATAGCTCCCCTATATATTTTCGTCCGATTTATGGTAAATGGTGCACCAAAGACCCTATATATCTGTCGATTTGCACGAAATTTGTGTATAACGTACTGAATTGAGCCTAGAATTATGTCTGCCAAGTTTCGTGAAAATCGGTCCAGATTGAGATATAGCTTCCATATATTGTTTCGTCCGATTTCATGTAAATGGTGCACCAACGTCCCTATATATCCTTCGATTTGCACGAAATTTGGCCAAGAAAATTGATCCAGATTTATATAAATATCTCCCATATTTTGTTTCGTCTGATTTCATGTTAATGGTGCACCAAAGTCCCTATATATCCTTCGATTTGCACGAAATTTAGCATAGCGTACTGAATTTTCTCCAGAATGATGTGCGCCAAGTTTCGTGAAAATCGGTTGAGATTTAGATATAGCTCCCTTATATAGCATTTCCACATTAAATGAAACCTTTTACAAATTAAATGAACCCTTTTCCAAATTAAATGAAACCTTTTCCAAATTAAATGAAACCTTTTCCAAATTAAATGAAACCTTTTCCAAATTAAATGAAACCTTTTCCAAATTAAATGAACCCTTTTCCAATTGAAATGAAACCTTTTACAAATAGAATGAAACTTTTTCCAAATTAAATGAAACCTTTATTCTTATCTAAGGAAATATAATATTTGCAGTAATTTTAAACCAATATTTGAAAATTAAATCAAAGAATATTAACAAATATAGTTGTATGGCTATGTAATTAAAATAAATATTCTTTAATTCGGTGTGATTTCATTTAATAACTTTACTAAATAAAACTAAAAAAATAGTAATACGAACTGGGGTATTTCTTGACATTTATTGACAAGGTAACTGATTATCTTAATGAAGAGGTTTCCGACTTGCATGTCCATAACGTAGTTAGAATTAACTTGTCGAGTAAGCTGTTGAATACTTCGCTCGATTACATCAACAATGTTATGTTCCATTGAAACGTCACACAGCTCAGCTCTTGTACATAATTTTATTTTTAAAAATGCTTTTTCGATTGGATTTACCATTGGAGTATAAGTCGGTAAGAATTTAAGGTTGCATCTTTTGGATTCGATCAAAGTTTTTTATGTCATGTCGCTTGTGTATTTGAGCGTTATCCACTATCAAGAACGAATTTTCCAGCTCTGGATTGATTTCCTCCAAAAGACTTTCTATAAATAATTTAAATCTGTCTGCATTGACACTGGAATCAGAAATGATTGTGTGATTGGGGTATCCCCAATATTCATTGATCGTTATTGGAGTATCCATTTTGTAAAGTCTTGAGCATATTTTTGTCTCAAGCCTAATGTTGTGGAGTCATTCATTTAGTAGTGTTTTGTATAGGTAGCCATACACAATTAAATAATTATGAGCTAACCTGATTTTAGCTCGGGAACCTCTGATAATAGGGAATCTGAAGGAGAATCTATAACCTCGCCAAGTATTGCAAATGGAAATGCTCCAGAACCTACCGAAGCTACATCTACAAGACCCCGAAACAATTTGGGTCAGTATAACAAAATAATATAAGACATGCAATTTTTATTATGTAAATTGTATGAAGAGTGTAGAACAATTTCCGAGACTGCAAATTTAACCTGCATAAAAATAAATTCAGCACAAGCATTAATAAGAAGATACAAAAAAAATTCTGGAAGGAAAATAAGCGTGGAGGAAATATAACTAAATTTTTGACACCACAAGTTTTAAGTCTGATCGCGTTATAGAAAGTCAACCTTAAATTACCCTCAAAGCCATAAAAACTAAACTGTTGAGAGAAAATGATATAAATATTTCCACAAGCTCCATAGAAAATGGATTACGGAAATTAAAAATTACGTTGCAGATGGCCTCTAGTGAAATAGAACGAATGAATGACTCCAGAACATTAGGCTTGAGACAAAAATATGCTCAAGACTTTACAAAATGGATACTCCAATAACGATCAATGAATATTGGGGATACCCCAATCACACAATCATTTCTGATTCCAGTGTCAATGCAGACAGATTTAAATTATTTATAGAAAGTCTTTTGGAGGAAATCAATCCAGAGTTGGAAAATTCGTTCTTGATAGTGGATAACGCTCAAATACACAAGCGACATGACATAAAAAACTTTGATCGAATCCAAAAGATGCAACCTTAAATTCTTACCGACTTATACTCCAATGGTAAATCCAATCGAAAAAGCATTTTTAAAAATAAAATTATGTACAAGAGCTGAGCTGTGTGACGTTTCAATGGAACATAACATTGTTGATGTAATCGAGCGAAGTATTCAACAGCTTACTCGACAAGTTAATTCTAACTACGTTATGGACATGCAAGTCGGGAACCTCTTCATTAAGATAATCAGTTACCTTGTCAATAAATGTCAAGAAATACCCCAGTTTGTATTACTATTTTTTTACAGCCTGTTTTTCTATTTCGAACGAAAATCATTGCGAAAGAAAATAACTCACTCACTTTCGTTTAAAAAAGCGTTCATGTATTTCGAAAGCTATCGTTCGTTTGCCGTTACGTATACCATTCGAAAAACTACTAAATTAAATGTAAAGTTTTACAACAATGTTCAATAAATGAGAGTCAAATGGGAAATGAGAACAAACTACACAAATACAATCACACATTTGAATATAAAAAAATGTCAAATGGAAATTTTCAGTATTTGTGAGAATTGTGTACAATTTTATTTTACAAAAACATGAATAAAAAACCCAAACGATACCTATAAAACATGTTCCAAAAATTTTTATTTTGTTTAGAGACTGTGTTGTGTGAAAGTCCTTGAAATTTTGGTACATAGTTCGCGATTTTGCAATTGATTCGATAGCTATAAAGCAAGTGAGTGAATTTGACATTCTCGTTCGAAGGAATTTGACATTCTCATTCGAACCCAACTTTTTAGAGAAAAAGTATACGTTTACGGGTTCTTTCGAGTTGCTTATCGTTCGACTTCTTTTGCCTGTAAACAGTTTTTATATAAACCAAAATTGATTTTCTTTCGGATTGAAAGCGAAAGAAACCTTTCTTTCGAAATACATAAACAGGCTGTTAGTTTTATTTAGTAAAGATATAAAATAAAATCACACCGAATTAAAGAATATTTATGTTAATTACATAGCCATACAACTATAGTTGGTAATATTCTTTTTTAATTTTCAAATATTGATTTAAAATTACTGGAAATATTATATTTCCTTGGATAAGAATAAAGGTTTCATTTAATTTGGAAAAAGTTTCATTCTATTTGTAAAAGGTTTCATTTCAATTGGAAAAGGTTTCATTTAATTTGGAAAAGGTTTCATTTAATTTGGAAAAGGTTTCATTTAATTTGGAAAAGGTTTCATTTAATTTGGAAAAGGTTTCATTTAATTTGGAAAAGGGTTCATTTAATGTGGAAATGCTATATTATAGATTGATTTTAAGTTATTGGCTCACCAAGGAACCAATAGGCTGATAGGAACAAAACGTACTGAATTTAGTATTTCAAGTTTCGTTGAAATCGGTTCATATTTGGATATAGCTTCCATATATATTTTCGCCCGATTTTAAGTAAATTGGGCATCAAACTCCTCATGTTAGTCAGATTGACATCAAATTTTGCACAACGTACAATCAAGAACGTAGTTTCTAGAAGTACAGACATAGCCCAACGGATGACCTATTTATATTTGTTTGAAGTCGATTTACATACTTTTGTCCCATTGTAAAAAAAGAATGACATGTTTATGGATAAATCTAGGTAGATTCACATTTAGATAAATATCACATATTTTATTTCATCCAATTTCATGTTAATAGTCCTGTTTAATATACCCATAGAGGTGAAGGGTATCATATAGTCGGCCCAGTCCGACTTTACTACTTTCTTTACTGGTTATTCTTGTGTTCGAGCAGTTCCCTTATGCATTATGGACCTGAGCACTAATAACCATCATAGTCACATGGATTGAAATCCGGGTTAACGGGCTTAAAATCGGTCGGGATTAATATCATGCGGGCCATGTAAAAACTTCAACGTACATTCAGCATTTTCTAGAGAGTTTTTATCGCTTGAAAACCCGAAATAAAAAACAAACGAAAAACAGTGCCAGTCTGTGTTGCCGACAGATGTAGTACGGTTAGCGGGAGTCTTCGGCTTTTATTTTTTCGATATAAGTTTTGTTGATCAAATCAGTTATTCAATTCGAACAAAATTAAATTTACAAGTTTATAAAATATTGACCCTTTGACCAGAAGGAGAGGGCCGACGGGTCCCACCTTTGAATTTAGTGGGGGTTTGGTAAAAAAAATTGGTTGTGCAAAATTTGATTCCAATCCTATATTCAATTCGCCTGATATTGGATTTATAAATATTATAAATCCAATATCAGGCCGACGGGTCCCACCTTCGTGCTTGATCTAGGCTGGGTAATGATAATAGGTTGTTTTGGTTCAAATCAGACATTGGATTTATAAATTTCGAAAATGTTGATCCTTTGTGGTGGAGGTACCTGAACGAGTGGACCAGTGGGTTCCATCTTTGGATGTGATCTAGCCATAGTAAATATAATAGGTTTGGTTTAAATGATGACCATTTTGTGGGGGAGAGACGAGAAGGAGTGGATCCATCTTCAAACGTTAACTATATTTGGAAGAAATATTACAATGTACAAAATTTGAATCAAATTGATTACTCCCTTTGAGAGTTATAGTGCATAACAGCCAGACGGCCGAACGGACATTTGTAAGTCGACTCAAAATTGTCTGAAACAGATGTGGTCCAAAGAAACATTGTGTCTTAAAGCAATATATCGATGAGACACATTTTTGTCGCAGCAAGGTGTATATACCCTCATTTGCAATATGGCTAATATGACGTAATCTATAATGAAAATTTCCTGAAAGGACAAAGGACATTCTTCCTTGGAAAATTCGAAGGGCAAATTTTTGTCCTATAAGTTAGAGAATCAAGGACCTTCCATCTACCAACATTCTCGTCTCATGGGCTATGTCAATAAATGAACCTACGTTGAATATTTTTAAGCAGATTTATATCCTTTGAGAGCCTCAAATTCCACATTTATTGGAAAAACCGAAAATCTGTCAATAAATGGACCTACATTGACATTTTTCTGCCAGGAGGACTACCAGATTCATCGGTTTTATCACGTCTTATATTGTATGCTTCTACTAATTACGAAAATTCCCTATGATACACTATATCTTTTATAACGTATCGATCGTTCGACAAAACCTTGTGAATAACATAGGGTCCCTTTGAATTTAGGCAATAATTTCCTGTTTACCCCTACAGTGGTGTTCACGTTCGGAATCACTACAAAATCTCCTACTTCAAATGAGTTGACTTACATCCCCTTTCTCTTTAGCCATTTTTTCAGTATAATATTTCGACCTCGCAGTGGAGTCTCCAGCCCAAAAACAATTATTAATTATAGTCCATCGAATTATATAAATCCATGACTATGCAAATAATTCGGGATATGATAAAAAGAGGACCTATATGGAACATGTTCTTATTCTGTTAAAATATTCGATGATCAGAATTTCTATATAGCCTTTGCTTAGTATTTTTATTGCCCACTATAAAACAAATAAAAAAGTCACTAAGTTCGGTGTGTTCGAACTGGTTTACCCTCTACCAGTTAGTGGGCATTCAAAATGCCTTTCATCAGTCGGTAGCTTTATTAGGTCTGAATATTAAATAATCTCCACCCGTTATTGCATTATGTGATGTGTTTAAGCTCTAATGTTTCAAATTATAGACACTCAGGTTGGAAAACTAGGGTAGGAATTTCAACATACCGTGAGGCATTTGTGTGTGGGATATTTCAAAACATTAGCCTATATGAAATATTTTCTGGAAAGAAGTTTTTATTAACCACAAATTCAATATACCAAATTATAGTTCCGTTTCAGATCCTAAAAGTATATATTAAATTTTAGAAGTATTGTAAGTTTTTACTCGAAAACCGTTCCTGAACCCACAAAACTGGCAAAACATTGAACCATATTTAAGAGAACACAAAACAAAATGGCGTTCTCTTTGTAAACTTTTTACTCGAAAAATTTGTCCGAGTAAAAATGATTAACAGGAATGCCAACTTCTGATTGGCTGTTATGTTGATTTTGAAGTATTGCCATCTAATATTGCTATTATAAAATTCGCATATGTATTTTCCAAATTATTTCGAGGCACTACAAACGGAATGACATCACCAGCAACTTGTGGTGGAGAGTACCAAAATGTATGTTGTTATTAAACATTGTCGCATAGTGTTATCAGCATAAAACTTCTTATGATTCACTGCTAATCCAAGCTATTAATCGCCTTATCTGGAGATCTAAAAAAAGTGTGTAGTATGTGTGTCATGTGTCACTGGAGACAAAACAAATCATTTTTTTATTTATTTTTACTACTATTAGAAATGACGTATAAATATGTAGTATATGATCCAATTCTGGGATATATTTATAAATATAAAACTCATTTATAAAGATAGAAAATTTCAAAATTATTTAAAATAAAAAAATAAGGAAGTAATATTTTCTTATTGAGGACAAAATACCTCCAAGTAAAGGGTGATTTTTTTGGGGTTAGGATTTTCATGCATTAGTATTTGACAGATCACGTGGGATTTCAGACATGGTGTCAAAGAGAAAGATGCTCAGTATGCTTTGACATTTCATCATGAATAGACTTACTAACGAGCAACGCTTGCAAATCATTGAATTTTATTACCAAAATCAGTGTTCGGTTCGAAATGTGTTTCGCGCTTTACGTCCGATTTATGGTCTACATAATCGACCAAGTGAGCAAACAATTAATGCGATTGTGACCAAGTTTCGCACTCAGTTTACTTTATTGGACATTAAACCAACCACACGAATGCGTACAGTGCGTACAGAAGAGAATATTGCGTCTGTTTCTGAGAGTGTTGCTGCAGACCGTGAAATGTCGATTCGTCGCCGTTCGCAGCAATTGGGTTTGTGTTATTCGACCACATGGAAGATTTTACGCAAAGATCTTGGTGTAAAACCGTATAAAATACAGCTCGTGCAAGAACTGAAGCCGAACGGTCTGCCACAACGTCAAATTTTCAATGAGTGGGCCCTAGAAAAGTTGGCAGATAATCCGCTTTTTTATCGACAAATTTTATTCAGCGATGAGGCTCATTTCTGGTTGAATGGCTACGTAAATAAGCAAAATTGCCACATTTGGAGTGAAGAGCAACCAGAAGCCGTTCAAGAACTGCACATGCATCCCGAAAAATGCACTGATTGGTGTGGTTTGTACGCTGGTGGAATCATTGGACCGTATTTTTTCAAAGATGCTGTTGGACGCAACGTTACGGTGAATGGCGATCGCTATCGTTCGATGCTAACAAACTTTTTGTTGCCAAAAATGGAAGAACTGAACTTGGTTGACATGTGATTTCAACAAGATGGCGCTACATGCCACACAGCTCGCGATTCTATGGCCATTTTGAGGGAAAACTTCGGAGAACAATTCATCTCAAGAAATGGACCGATAAGTTGGCCACCAAGATCATGATTGACGCCTTTAGACTATTTTTTGTGGGGCTACGTCAAGTCTAAAGTCCACAGAAATAAGCCAGCAACTATTCCAGCTTTGGAAGACAACATTTCCGAAAAAATTCGGGCTATTCCGGCCGAAATGCTCGAAAAAGTTGCCCAAAATTGGACTTTCCGAATGGACCACCTAAGACGCAGCCGCGGTCAACATTTAAATGAAATTATCTTCAAAAAGTAAATGTCATGGACCAATCTAACGTTTCACATAAAGAACCGATGAGATTTTGCAAATTTTATGCGTTTTAAAAAAAAAGTTATCAAGCTCTTAACAAATCACTCTTTAGTTGTATCACATCTATTATTTGCGATAAGATATTTCGAGGTTTAAAATTCTGGAAAATATGTCTGCTACAGAATTGCAAAAATGTATTCAGTTTTACTATTTTCTTCGATAGTTTACAAGAAAGAAAAGAAAATGATCGTAATTAAATTTTTTTCATTTTTGCAGGCTCTTAACACCTCTACCTTAAATCTAGACCTGATTTTGTTTATGCTATTAAAAATAAATCCCCCTGTAAGCTAGTGTAGTGCGATGGCAATTGAAGTCATATGCTCAGTCTGGCGGATATCAGTTATCAGTTAATACGTATTTTTTGTTTTGTTTTCATTTTGTGCCAAATAAAATAGCTGAACAAGTGTTCAAAATCAATGTCTTTTTTTCAGATTTTTGGCCAACTTCTTACGGTCATTTGATTGATGAATTTTTGATAGGAGAAGGTCTTAACTTTTTGTACGCCACTGGCTTTAAACTACTTGACAGATAGTTTTTTTTTTCATTTTATCAATAAAGAAATAATAAAATAGCAATTTTTATAGTGGGCCTTTTCGATTGAACAGGTGGCTGAATTGAATTCAATTGCAAAAAATTCAAAAAAGTAATTTATTTTTCATTTGCCTTTGTTATTGAAATTATCTTTATGTCGGTCATTATCAATTTTGTGTGTGTGCGTGTGTATTTGTGTCTGCACTTTCTTGTAACATAAAAGCCAAAATAATGATAATGACAACCATTATCATCGACGTTTATTCAATTATCATCACCTTTATTTTATTTTGTTCCATTTTTTCCATGACGTCTTTTAACAAAATTGTGTAAAACATAATTGTTAATTTTGTGGAATTATATTATTTTCACTAAATCACAGTAGTATTGACGGATTATTTGAAATCTATTGTCCACTCCCACCATCAAGAAACCCATGGTACGATCAGGAGTGTCGAGATGTACAGGAGTCATAATAAAGCCCGGAAATTTTACCAACGAGTAAAACACTTGCTCTCGTCGATGTTGCAGACTTTTTCCGGTCGAATATGGAAATATCCGCTACTAAGTCAACGGCCACACTGTTTACCACATTGGTAGCGGAGATGCGTCTATCTTTGAATGTGCAGGTCGAGGAGTCCACAATTTTGACCACCAATTAAGCCAAGATTCTAGGGATCACATTCGATAGTCTTTATAAGTCGTCCGCGCATGTCACAGCTATTTGAGATAAGGCATGGAGCAGAAACAAGGTACTCAAGTCGCTAGCCGGCAGCACTTGGGGAGCTGACAAAGAAACCTTGTTAACAACATACACAGCAATAGACCGGTCTGTGGTAAAATATGCGGTGTGGTCCGTTAACGTCAGTGCAACGCAGTGGAAAAGTCTTCAATCCTGCCAGAATGCTGCCCTGAGGACTGCTACAGGGTGTCTTCTCATGACTCCAATAGACCACTTACATGTGGAGACGAAGATCCTTCCTGTGCGTCAATACAACAAGATCTTGTCGATGCAATACCTGCTTGGGTGTTATAGAAGTAGACATCCAAATTGTTACCTAATGGATAGGCACCCACCACCTAGGCATGTCAGGAAAAATCTTCATGATCCGGAGAGAGGTCCAAAGGCACAAAAGGGAGCCTCTAGGCCTATCAAGCAGAATTGAATCGTATTTACACGGATGCAGTTAGGGATACAATTCCAGAATATCGGTGATCACCCGCTTACGATAGCTGCAGAAGAGCAGCAGCTACCTCGACAAACTAGAGTGGTCTTGGCACAATTAAGACCAGTATGGTGTAGTCGCCTTAATTCATATTGGGTACGAATTGATGGAGAGGGCGATAATATCTGCCCGGCATGTGGTAATGGACCACATGACACGCTACACCCATTCAACACCCCAGCCAAACCCACTCACCTAACCCCATTTTCTCTTTGGACTCAACTGATACAGTTCGCAGTCTTCCTGAACTTGGAGTTAGAAGCAGAACCAGATTAAGGAGAATAAGAAGAAATACACACCTGCACCAAGCCGATAGCTATGGTGCAGGCACATCCTCTTGTAGAGATGAGGAAGAAACCTGGTGTCAAATACAGACAGCGTGTTGAGGATCTGGAAGGAGCTTCTTGCATCAAATCGTAACGGCGAAGAAGATACTGCAGAACCAATAAGAAATTACGGTATAGATTATATACCACCTAGCCAAGATGAGGTCAGAATAGCAATTAATCGGCTGAAGAATAAAAAATTACCAGCCGAACTATACAAAACCGGTGGTCAGATGCTAATCAAGAGCATGCACCAGCTGATTAATACAATTTGGCTAGATGAATGCCTGCCCAATGGTTGTAACCTCAGCATCTTGTGTTCGGTGCAAAAAAAAGGAGACAAGGCGATATTTGCCAACTATTGAGGAATAAGTCTCCTTCTCATCGCATCGAGCTATCGAGCATGCCGTGTGAAGGATTGAAGCCAATGACCAATAACATTATTGGACCATACCAATGTGGATTCAGACCTGATAAATCCACCATTGACCAGACCCACGAACAAAACATGGACACATTCAAACTATTCGTTGAATATAAATCCGCATTCGACAGCCCAATCAGCTCAAAGGTGTTTAAAGCCATGTCTGGGCACAAGGTCAGCAGTTAACGTCGGAAAGGACCTATCGGAGACCTTCATACCGAACGAGGTTTCCAGACAAGGTGACAGTTTGTGGTGTCATCTTTTTAACATCCTGCTGGAAAAGGTCATACGAGATGCAAATGTGATGCAAAAATGAATCGATATTATGGGGAGCTTGGTAATGTTCTACAACCGAATTCGCTGTAATTTGGTATTTTGTATTCTGAGAGGTCGTCAAAATTATCTGAGATTTTGAAGAAATTATTGCTTTTTCTGTCCCAATACAATAACATAATTATTTTTCAATTGATTACGTATATAAAGAATGAGACAATAACCTCTGAAGATAATGGTAACCTGATTTAAACAAAAATAAATAAATAAATAAACCAAAAAACATGACTCATCCTCGCCTTCTTGACGGGGGATTTTTCCCAATGATTCCGCAATTTTTTCACTTTACAATAATTTTTTATCTGTATTCAACAATGACATAAACCAATTCTTATCTACTTTATCTCTTTTTTCTACAGGAAATGGCATTGAGCCCCACCTCGCCAACCTATAGCGGTTGGAAGGTATCACCGTTACCGCTCGATTTCGATGTGTATCTATTCAATTGGACAAATCCCGAAGATTTTTATGTTGGATCGCCGAGAAAACCACGATTCGAACAATTGGGACCATATCGTTTTCGTGAAACACCCGATAAAGTGGATATCGTATGGCATCCAAGTAATTATTCCGTGTCGTTTCGTAAGAAGGCCACATTTCAATTTGATGCGGAGGCTAGTAATGGCACGTTGGATGACATTGTAACCACGGTGGATACAGTGGCTCATGTGAGTATTTTTTTTACGAAATTTTCAAAAAATAAAACAAAATTTTTTGAAAAGGCATTTTTTAAAAATAATTTTTTTCAAGATTTGGATATGCGTGGATTTTTTAAAAAATAGTTTTTCAAGATTTTTTCAAATACTTTTCGAGAATTGAATAAGAATATACATTTTTTAAAAATAGATTTTTTTCATTTTTTTTTTTTTTGTTTTGAAAAATACTTTTTCCAAAATTTTTTAAAAATATTTTTTTTTAATTTTTTTAAAAAATATTTTTTTCAAAATTTTTTTAATATATTTTTGGAGAACTGTATTAGCGTGGAAATTTAAAAAAAAAAATTAAATTTTTTGATAAAAATAAATTTCAAAAATTTTTGAAAAAAAAATTTTAAATTTTTTGATAAAAATAAATTTCAAAAATTTTTGAAAAAAAATTCACAATTTTTTGAAAATATTTTTCCAACTTTTTTTTTGGAATATTTTTTTTAAGATGTTTTGAAAATATTTTTTTCAAAATAGTCAGGCTTAATCCCAGTTCGTTGTTTTTATAAAAAATACAAATGGTATCCCAAATAACCCGCCAACACCACTGAAAATTTTTTTCAAAAATTTTTTGAAAATATTTTTTCAATATTTTTTTTGAAAATATTTTTTCAAGTTTTTTTTGAAAATATTTTTTCAAGATTTTTTTGAGAATTTTTTTAAAGATATTTTTAAAAATACTTTTTTATTAAACTTTAATATTATATTCCCTCTTCTCCTTTAGTCAACCGCTCTGCGAGCCAAAGATGCCAATGGCTTCCAAAAAGGCATTCTCGCCATGACCCTAAGCAGCCGCCAGGTGGCAATAACAAAAACCGCCAACGAATGGATTTTCCAGGGTTACAAAGACCCTCTGGTGACAATTGGTGGATTCGTGGCGAAATTTGTTAAAGAAGTTGAGGTACCCTATGATCGGATAGGATGGATGTATACGGTAAGTCTAAAGACCGCTATGATCAAAAAGAAATTTCTGACGTCTATTTTGTATCATCTCCCAATCCCTTATAGCGCAATGGCAGTTCCACCTATGATGGTCACTTTAATATTTACACCGGTGCCGATGATATTTCCAAAATGGGTCAAATCTATAGCTGGAACTATAGAACACACAATGGTGTCTTTCCTGGTGAATGTGGTCAAGTCAAAGGTTCAATGGGTGAATTTTTCCCACCCAATTTAACACCTCGAGATTCGGTATGGATGTTCGTGCCGAATGTATGTAGGGCGGTGCCCTTGGATTATACGGAGACTGTTAATATTCACGGTGTTACGGCGTACAAATACAGTGGAACTGAACGGTCTGTGGATAATGGTAAGTTTGTGGAACTAGTTTGGAAGATCGGATGGAAATGTAGAAGTTCTAATTATTCAAAATTATTATATGGTGGAGAGCCGCACCGAAGTTTGAAAAACTTTGTCCTAACAGCTGAAAAAATAAAATTTCCTAATACGAATAATTAAAAACCTCTCTAAATTTCGACCTAGCTTCCTAAAAACCATTCTTCCCATTTGACTATATAATAAAGTGTATCTTTCAACTTTTTTAAGGCACCCTCTACCCTGAGAATCGTTGCTTTTGTGTCAACAATAAATGTGAAGCCTCCGGGGTCTTTAGTATAGCCCCTTGTAAATACAACTCTTCGATTTATATGTCCTATCCACATTTCTATAAGGCTGATCCCGTCTATTTGGAAGCCATTGAGGGCTTGAAGCCGGAAAAAGAAAAACATGAATTCTTTATGACACTGGAACCAAATGCCGGTGTACCCATGGATGTGGGTGGTGGCTTCCAGGCGAATTATTTAATGGAACCTGTGGCGGGAATAAGGTAAGTAACTGGGGGTAGGATATTTTATCCAATATTGAACATTTTTATAAACTCGATCAAATTTGGTCACTTCGAGTTCGTGGAAGAGCCCATATATATTTTTAGCGGAATGAGATTCGATGAACGATTTTGAAATCATGATAGATTTTGTTATATTTTCGAAAGAGCTTGAACATTTTGAATATAGGATCGGTCCACATTTTGATGTAGCCCCATGTTGAAGGTTTTAAAGCCGCATTTTCCAATCGAACTCGAATTGGGTTTTGGGTTTTCGAAATTTAGCAAATTGTTCCGCCATATAACGGCATACCCAACATTTCAGTATTGTAGGGAGCTTGAGGACGTTTTACAACCGAATTGATTGTAATTGTGTATTCTGAGTTCTCATAGGGTACGAAAACTTGGTATACAAAATTATCAATAACGAATCATATTTTGGGATAGCTCCCATATAACGAACCCCCAAAATTTCGATATTTTAGAGAGTTCAGGTATGTTTTTCAACCGAATTGACTGTAATTTGGTATTTTGGATTCTCGATAGGCAGATAATCTCTATACCAAAAATTAACAATATTGGTCCACTTTTCAAGGTAACGGTACCTCTCAAATTTCGGAATTTAAGGGGGTTTGGGAAGTTTTTTTTCAACCGAAATGACTGTAATTTGGTATTTTATGTTACCATTAGGGTAGCAAATCTTCTTAAGAAAAATTACAAGTATTGTAACTCTATTAAGGGTAGCCCCCAAATATCCGAACTTTGGTAGCTTGGCCACTTTTTTTCAAACGAATTGGCTGTAATTTGGTAATTTGAATTCTCAAAGAGAATAAATCCTTCCTACGAAAAATGATCAACATTGGTCCACTTTTTGCGGTAGCCCCCATATGACGGCACCCCCAATTTTGGGGAGCTTGGGCATGTTTTTCAATCGAATTGGCTGTAATTTGGCATTTTGACTTCTCATGGGCCAGCAAATCAGTCTACCAAAAATTGTAAACATTGGCCCACTTTTTACAATAGCCACCATATAACAACATATCCAAAATGCCGATATTTTAGGGAGCTTGAGCATGTGTTTCAATCAAATAGCTTGTAATTTAGTATTTTGGGTTCTCATAGCGTAGCAAATCTCCCTACCAAAAATTATCAACATTCGCCCACTTTTTAGGATAGTCCCCATATAATAATACCATCAAAATTTCCGAATTTTGGGGAGTTTGAGCATGTTGTACAACCGAAATGGCTGTAATTTGGTCTTTTGGGTTCTCATAAGGTAGTAAACCTCCCTGCCAAAAATTATCAACTTTGGATCACTTTTTGCCTCCATATAAAGGTACCTACCAAATTTCGGTAATGGCGGGAGCCTGGGTTTGTTCTTCAACCGAATTGGCTGTAAGTTGGTATATAAGTTTCTCAATAGGTATAAAATCACCTTACCAAAAATTATCAATATTGCCTTCAATTTCGGAGTAGGTCCCATATAACCGTACCGCCCAATATTCGGTAATATGGAGATTTTGTTTCAACAGAGATGAATATAATTTTATAATGTAGGTGTTCATTGGGTGTACAATTTCCCTACCTAAAATATAACATGACATAGTCCTGCTATAAAATATATATTTTAGGTTCGCCCCCTTGAAAGTTCGGACCTACCGAACTTAACAACATTTTTATTTATTTCAAATTTATTATTATTTTTATTCAATTTAAACACTAAACCTTTTTTCTCTTCTATTGCAGACCCTATCACAATGTACCACGCACATTTATACCATTAATGTGGGCGGAGGAACGGGTACGCGTTACACCAGAAATTGCCTCCGACATAGCCTTGGTGCCAATGATCGTGTTAATTGGCCAATTGATCACAGGTGTCCTCTTTGCCTTGGGTATCATTATGATTTGTTGGTATCCAACGAAATTCGTAACCCTACTGTGTCAAGATCCAAAGGGTAAAAATATTCTGCAGCGTTCATTTTCAAAACCGTCAACGGGGTCGACTAAAGGAAGAACAAGTGTTAATATAACATCAGCCACTGGTGGCAGTGCCACCAATAGACATAAAGAGAGGGTATCGTTGTTGGAACGTAATCCCGGCGGTGTAAGTTTATTGCGTACGCATAGCTCACAAACTGAGGGTCTGCTAAGCGCTGTTAGCAGTAATGCCTCATCGCAGCACAACTCAACCGATGTGATATCGTGTTAGATAGCAAGCAATTGTAGAGTTATAGTAATTGTAATAATAATAATAAAATGGGGGGAGCATAAAGTGGGGAACTTTTGGAATTACCAAAAAAAAAAAATTTACCCTGGTGAATTTTTAAAATCCCCAAGAATTTTTTGTCAAATCCAAAAAATATTGTTTTTTTTGAAAATTATCAAAATTCGAGGCTAGTTTTCAAATCCCACATAAAAATATTTAACAGTCTTCACTAAGTTCCCCATTTTGTCCCCCCTTTGGCATAAGTGGTGAACTTTTTTAAATCCCCAAACAATTTTGTAAAATCCCGGAAAATTATTTTTTTTTGTTAAATTATAAAAATTCGAGGCTAGTTTTCAAATCCCACATAAAAAAATGTTTTCTTCTCCAAGTTCCCCACTTTGCTCCCCCTTTTGGCTGTAAAAAATTTATTTTTTAATTTAAAAAATATTTTTGTGCTATATATTTTTTTAAAAAAGAAAATGTAAATATTGTATTAAAAATTTAATTCATTAAAGAATTATTTGAAATAATTTGCAAAAACAAAAATTTAAATTTAATTACGGCATGACATTTGCATTTAGAACAACGAGAACCAGTTCAAAGTCATTGTCTAGGAATTTTTAAAACGGCAATAAAAAAATAGTGTCTCGTTAGTAGATTCTGTCCTAAAAAGCAAGCTTTATTATTAGAAAAAAAATAATTACAATAACAACGATTTAATATATATTTAAATTTAAGACAACATTTGTCACATACACACTTCCATTTAAATGATTAACACTGGGCTACAGAAATTTTAAAACCAAAATCAAAAATTTCAAAGGATGGAAAATTTCTTTTCAAAATACCAACCCTGATGCTATTCCGAATCATTCGGAATCATAGGACTTTGGATTTTTTTAATTATATTTTTGTAGCCCTGTGTAATTTATCTCATACCAAATCACAGTACATTTTATGGCAGTCATTGTATAATATCCACACTCGTTTTTTCCCTTCTTCTAAACAAATACCAAAAAATCGGTCTTCCAATGAAGTTGAGGAAGCAAAAACTTCCCACAGACACATGGAGACCTCTTTTTTTGCTGAACTAAATATTAAAAAAAAGACAAAGTTTAAAGTCACGTCCACACACGAGAGATATATCTTTACTCTTGAAATGTTCGACACTCAACCTTGTGACCTGCTAGCTAACATAGATACAAAATACAATTAACAATTATATAAGAACAGTCATAGCAAGTCATATATTTATAGGTTTTTTATATTATTTAAAATAATTAAAAATAACCCAAAAAATACAAACAATTTAATTTAAAAGGTAAACAACCTCTCCCAAAAAAATACTTTCAAACCAAATTTTACAGAAAAATAAATAAAAATTATTTTCATAGGTTCTAAAAAAAATAATAAAATCTTTTTAAGATATTTTTCCAGTGAATTAATTTATTTTTTCGCCTTTCAAAAAAAAATAAAAGTATTGGATTTGTGGCATAAAAAATAAGATCTAATTATTAAGTATTTAGTTTAATAAGTTCCAGTGATATAAAATAATAAATAAATAGGCTTTCAGTGTATGTTTTCTGTATTTTTTATTTATAATTGAATTATTATTAATTATCATTTAACATATATAAAAAATATATTTATATATTTAGTCATATTTATATGAAATACTATAATTTTTTATTATATTCATTATTCTACATAAGCATTTATAAAAATAGTCATTTTTATTTTTTTATTTTATTAAATATCCAAAGCCTAAAAGAACATACCTTAAAAATATTATTTAATCAAAAAAATTAATAAAAGAAATAATTAAATGGATGAAATTAATAAAAAGGTGGTTTTATTTATAATTTTTTTCTTTTAAATTCAGCCTCCATGAAGAAACATCAGACAACGACATGAGGTTGAATGACTTCGCGGCAGCAAAAAACATCGTAGTTAACAGCACCAGATTCAAGCACCTCGATATACACAAGGACACTTGGATTTCGCCCGATCGAACAACAAGAAATCAAATCGATCATTTTGTGATAGACGGAAGGCATTCATCCAGTGTTTTAGACGTCCGATCAATCCGAGGAGCGAATATCGATTCGGACCATTATCTTGTGGCATCCAAGGTACGCACCCGTCTTAATGTAGCAGCAAAGGTGCGATCTAACACAACACGGAAACTCGACGTCGAAAAGCAGAAAACAACAGAGATGGCAGAAGCCTACTCCGCTCAACTTACCCAACTGCTTGACGAAAGCACCCCTTGTCCCGATAATAATATAGAAGCACAGTGGCAGACAATTGCCCACTCCCTACAAACTGCAGCAAAAGCAACACTTGGGTTCCAAAGACCACCGTCAAGAAATCCGTGGTACGATCAGGAGTGTCGTAATGCTACAGATATGAAAAACGCAGCCTTTAGGGCAACCCTGCGGACAGTAGCAACACGTAAGGCGATGGAGAAATATCGAGAGAAAAGGAGAGAGGCGAAACGTATTTTCAGAAAAGAGAAAAAAAGCAAGAAAAACGTGATGTACAGGAGTCAGAATGATGTCCGAAAATTCCACCAACGAGTAAAACACCAAACCGAAGGCTTTGGTGCAGGCACATCCTGCTGTAGAGATAAATAAGGAAACCTGGTGACAGATACAGACAGTGTGCTGAGGATCTGGAAGTAGAATTTTGAAAAAAAATTCTGGTATCAAATAGTAGCGGCGAAGAGGATAGATGACGGTAATAAATCCAAAATGAAGTCGGAATAGCAATCAATCGTCTGAAGAATAATAAAGCAGCAGGTGCCGATGTGATACAAGCCGAACTATTCAAGACTGGTGGTCTGATGCTGGTAAGGAGCATGCACCAGCTGATTAGTACATATTGGCTAGAAGAATGCATGCCCAATGATTGGAACTTCAGCGTACTGTGAACTCCAGCGTACTGTGTGAACGACTGAAGCCTGAAGTCAATGACATTATTGGACCATATCAATGTGGCTTCAGACCTGGCAAATCCACCATTGACCAGATTTTCTCACTGCGCCAAATCCTGGGAAAAACCCACGAAAAACACATCGACACATTCCACCTATTCGTCGACTATAAAGCTGCATTTGGCAGCTCATTCCGCTCAGAGGTATTTAAAGCCATTTTTGCATTCGGCATTCCTGCAAAATTAATACGGCTATGCAAGATAACTTTAACTGGCGCAAGATCAGCAGTCAAAGTCGGATAGGACCTCTCGGAGCCCTTTAATACCGAACGAGGATTCAGACAAGGTGACAGTTTGTCGTGTGATCTTTTTAACATCCTGCTGGAAAAGGTCATACGAGAGGCAAAAGTGAACACAAATGGCACTCTGTACGCCAAACAACACGATGACAACGACATAATGAGTCGAACATTGAGAGCGGTAACATCCACCTTTGAACAAATTGAGAAGGATTCCGCCAAAGTGGGTCTGGCAGTAAACGGCGAGAAGACCAAGCTAATGGTGAAATCAACGCGCTAGACGTCCATTAGACTCGGACCAACTGTGGAACTTGAGAACTACAGCTTCGAGGTAGTCAAAGATTTTATATATCTTGGTACCGCCATAAATAAAACTAATGACATCAGTTTTGAAATTCGGAGAAGGATAGTGATGGCCAACCGATGCTACTATGGTCTGAGCAAACAACTCAAAAGCAAGGCCACCTCCCGCCAGACCAAACTCATACTCTACAAGACGCTGATACTTCCCGGGCTGTTATATGGATCTGAAGCATGGGTACTTGCGCAAGCAGATGAGGCAGCTCTTGGAGTGTTTGAGAGAAAAATTCTCCGAAAGATCTATGGACCGATCTGCGTTGACAGTGAATATCGCTGTCGAATGATCCACAGCTATTCTCGGACATCGACATTGTTAAACGTATTGAGTTGCAGTGACTACGTTGGCTAGATCATGTTGTGAGAATGGATGAAGATGCCCCAGCCCAGAAGGCATATAAAAGCGAACCAGCTGATGGTTCACGCAGAAGGGGAAGGCCACGAATAAGATGGAAAGACCAAGTGGAAGACAACATTGCAGAATATGGTCTTTCAAATTGGAAAAACTACGCAAAAGACCGACGCGCCTGGAAATCTTTCTTAAGCTCGGCTTATGGAACGAAAATTCTGTCACAAGCCAGCTAAGTAAGTATGTAAGTAATCTATCTAAGATAGTTTTATAGGCGTGGTTTTTTTTTAAATAGTTTTATAGGCGTGGTTTTTTAAAAAATAGTTTTATAGGCGTGGATTTTTTTAAAAAACCAACGATTGGCGTGGATTTTTTAAAAACCAAAGATTGACGCGGATTTTTTAAAAATAGTTTTATAGGCGTGTAGTTTTTAAAAAAATAGTTCTAAATGCGTGGATTTTTTAAAAATAGTTCTATAGGCGTGGATTTTTTAAAAATTGTTTTATAGGCGTGTATTTTTTAAAAATAGTTCCATAGGCGTGGATTTTTTTATAGACCATCCAAACTGTGCACCTCTTAATATTTCTTCCAAACTTAGTTTTGATTTCGAAGATGGGGAATATCGGTTCACAACTTCTGTACCTTCCCCACAAAATGGTCAAAATTATGCAAAAATTAAATTCATAATAACATGCAAAAAAATTCGTTTATTTTTAAGCTCGGGTTATGGAACGAAAATTCTGTCACAAGCCAGCTAAGTAAGTATGTAAGTAATCTATCTAAGATAGTTTTATAGGCGTTGTTTTTTAAAAAATAGTTTTATAGGCGTGGATTTTTTAAAAACCAACGATTGGCGTGGATTTTTTAAAAACCAACGATTGGCGTGGATTTTTTAAAAATAGTTTTATAGGCGTGTAGTTTAAAAAAAATAGTTCTATATGCGTGGATTTTTTAAAAATAGTTCTATAGGCGTGGATTTTTTAAAAATTGTTCTATAGGCGTGGATTTTTTAAAAATTGTTTTATAGGCGTGGATTTTTTAAAAATAGTTCTATAGGCGTGGATTTTTTTGAAAATTATTCTATAGGCGGTTCACAACTTCTGTACCTTCCCCACAAAATGGTCAAAATTATGCAAAAATTAAATTCATAATAACATGCAAACGGACTATCCGATTTTAACGAAACTTTCCACAACCTATTATCTTTATCAAGCCTAGATCAAATAGGAAAATGGGACCCATAGGTCCACTCCTTCTGCTACCACCCCCACAAAGTGTCAAAATGTTCAATATTTATTAATCCAATATGAGGCCAATTGAAATGTCTGATTTGAATCAAACTTTGCACCACCTATTACATTTACCAAGCCTAGATTAAGTTTGGGACCAATTGGTCCACTCCTTCTGGTAACTCCTCCAAATTGTCAAAAATTTCAAAATTTTTTAAATCTAATATCAGGCGATGGAAATGTCCGAACTGAAACCAAATTTTGCACAACCTATTCTATTAACCAAGCCTAGATCAAGTTTGAAGATGGAACCATTGGTCAAAATTTTCAATATTTATAAATCCAATATTAGGAGAATGAAATGTCCGAATTGAAACCAATTTTGCACAACCTATATTATCTTTACCAAGATCAAGTTCGAAGATGGGATCCATTTGGGAGTCACTACTTATAGTAACTCCCAAAAAAATTGTTAATATTTTCAATATTTATAAAACCATAGGGTGTGGGTATATATCTGAGACTTTTTACTTGTTTAAAAACATATTTTAATAGTCCACCGTTAGGCATGAATCTAGATTATATACGATCTCTGAATATTAAATCGACAACCCTATATGGGTATTCATTCGGGAGAGAGTCACTAAAATCATAACAGCAGTTATCTCTCTAATTCAAATAAATTCTTTAAACAAATTCGTTAAAAAAACCTCTCGCAATTTCAAACTCTTCGCGAATAGGTTAATAACAACAAAATATCAGTAACACCATACGACGTTTAATCGACGGCGGATCGTATTAGTTAAACGTTTTGGTGGTGCATTTGCTTATTTGCACTGAAGGTCATTCATTTATTTAACGGCAGTTATTGAAGGTTTGCAAAACTACCACACAATGCGAACCTGAGTGAATTCAATAGCCGTAAAAACGTGACTCTATTCTTATTGTGTTAAAAGTTTATAATATATTTAATAATTTAGTCAATTGAAAATAAAGTGAAACGGCTGATTTAAAAACTCACAATGGCTAATCATCGTCGAAAACTCATGGAGGGCAATAAAGTTTTATTTGCCGCAATATTATTTCTGGGTAAGGTATTTTCTTTTGCGTCTTGCTATTGTACCCTACATTATTACAGGAGGAGGTTCCGATTCAAAGTAGCTTTGACACGCAATTTTTTTAAAATATTTTCTAGTAAAAAAATTTAAGAAACAACTAAACATTTTTAAAAATATTTCAATGGGTCAACTATACGATAGGATTTTTTAAAAATATTTTTTTGTTTATTTAAAAAAAAAATAGTTATTTAAATTTGTTGACTTTGTGTCTAATTGTATGTACAACGCATTGTGCTCTTTTGTTACAGACAGATGATGATTTTCCTAGGCGCTATTCCCACACTCTCATCACTATCAATGTTACAAATAAATGATTTTGTACACTGAAAGAAAAAAATCCTAGGTTATAGACAAAAAAACTATAACAAATATCATTTCAATCCTCCTTAAATTTACCTTGAAACCACTGTACGTTTTATGACATTTTAACCCGTTTCATTTTTTATGAAAACCCTGACTTACGTCACTTTACCATTTATTGTAAAAATAGTTACAAATCTCTCTGTTTACATGACACGTGTAAAAAGAGGTTGTCGGCTTTTCATTCCAAATAAAGTCTCTTCAGAATTTCCCTCACGTGTTTGCCACCTTTGTATACAGAGAGAGAGAGAACACTCACAGCCCCAACACAGCAACTGTTACAACAAGTGCAACCCCAATTTATGGGAAACAAAGCAAAAAAAAAAAACAAATTTGTCAGTAATGCCAACAACATTTCAACGTTTTGGAAAAATAATCTTTAACCCTTTCAGTGTCAAAAAAATTTTTGTCGGAATAAAAATCTAAAATTTTGTACTTAATAGCATATAAAGGCATAGAGTTTAGAAAAAAACTTTTCTTTTTTTAACCCTCGGACAGTTTTGTCTGTCTTTCAGCAAAAACAAAGACATCAATTGTAACGGTACATAGGATAACCGAAAATCGCAAAAAAAGAGAGTAATTTTAAATGTAAAAAATTCACACCTAATGGTTAGGTTAGGTTTGGGGATGTGCAGTCACTTAAGTGGTTGCAGCACTCTGGGATCATCCACGTGAAGAAAAGAGATAATGACAGATCTGTAAGGGAGAGAAGATTGGGAAAATAAAGGGAGATGAGAAGCTTACAGAAAGATATAAAAAAAAGGTAAGATTGGAATAAGATCGATGGCTATAGGAATCAGACAGAAGATGTGTTACGTGTCAAGGTTGTGCTTTCCTAACCACTTTAGGTTTCTAATTATGCTGTAGATTAGAGCAGGTTCGGTTGTTGAGAAGAATCTAAGACTCGGTAGAAAATGAGCACCTACTAGTCTGTGCCGCCTGTAAGCCAGGGCTGGGCAGTGACACAGGAGATGTTCAATTGTCTTCGTCTCCTCCTCGTCAACGCAGAGTCTACAGTAATCAATTGCATAAAGATCCTGTTTACTAGTAAAAGCCCTGATATTACAGTTGTCAGTAATGATTCCTATCATTACACTTATTTCAGCTTTGCTCAGGTTCAACAGTGAGTGCGTTCTTTTGGTAGACCGAGTCGGCAAAATGGATCTTGACACGTTGCACCTTGGTTCATTGTGCCAAAGTTCATAGGCTCTTTCGTCGAAGAATGCCTCAAAGTTCTGGTAAAAATGACATATGGGTTGTTTGGTTGAGTCATCAGTTGCTAGATCTGTGGATTGAGATCCTCGTCTAGCTAGTTCGTCCGCTCTTACCCAAGATGTCACAATGTTCTGGTACCCAACACAACCGATAGCTGTGAGTAAGTTAGGGATAAGTAAATCGACTTTCGACTAATTGATTAATCGACTTTTTGTACTGAAAAGTCTAAAAGTCGAAGTCTACTTTTGATCTATGAAAAAATCGTAAAGTCGACTTTTCGAGATCGACTTTCGATTATCTTCATGAATACTTTTTTTATCACAGAACTCAAATTGCCCAAAAATTGCACTTTCTGGAACTTTACTTTATCTGTTCACAATAATTTATATAAAAAATCAATTTTTTAGTCGATTTTGCAGAAGTCAGTAAAAGTCGAAAATCGATTATGAACAGTTTTGACAAAATCGAAAGATCGAAAAGTCGAATTTTTAGTCAAAGGCAAAAATCGAAAAGTCTAAAAATCGACTTTTTGGTCAGAGCCAAAAACCGAAAAGTCTAAAAGTCGACTTTTGCGCTCGACTACGTATCCCTAGAGTAAGTTCTTCCAAAGCGGCTCTGCATTTGAGGACGGCCTCAGATTTGATATAACAAGATTTGATGGATTTAAGAGCCGCTTGACTATTCACAAAGATAGTCACCGGTTCAATGACCTCTACATCCAGACTTTTTATCAATTCCGCTGCCTTCCAAATCGCGAAGATTTCAGCATGGAAAACACTACAATTGCAATCCAGCTTGTAGGTTAACTCAAGGCCTAGCCTCTGTACCTTCATCCAGCTTGGATCCGTCTGTTTAGAAGGCCAGACCGTTCAGAGGAGGGATACTTCGGTTCCAGTCGGCTCTACTAGCAATAAGGACATCTACATCGTCAAATCTCAGGATTGGTGATATATAGTCGCTTAGTTTACCGCGTTGGTCCACTGTCATACCTGGCTCGTTCAAAATACTACCATACCCAAAGGTACAATTTCGCCAAAGGTTTTATTCATGCAGTCTTAGGGCGCTTAATGCTGAGGCCCAGAGGCTTAAAGTTCAGCATTGCGTTCAATGCTGCTTGTGGCGTACTCCTTCTGGCTCCTGTAACTAAAATCGAGGCGGCTCTTTGTACCTTATCTAATTTACTGGATGTCGACTTGTGGCGTAGACATTTCCACCATACAAGAGAACCATAGGATAGGATGGGCCTTACCACGGTGTTATATACGGCATTTACATTAGAACTTTTTACCGGGTTAACCTACTTTATGAGAACCCACTGGGTTAACGAAATCCGGTTAAATGTAAACGTACTGTTATACAACCAGCGTATAGTCGATGGTTTTAGCCCCCAGCTATTCCCAATGGAGTTCTTGCATGCATAGAGCGCAATCATCGCCCGTTCCTCAACGTTCCTATGTCATCGTAGTTCACAGTCCAGGATTGCGCCGAGGTACGAGGCACTTCATCCAGTGGTGGTGAAGCAAAAACGCCGAGCTTACGCTTCCTAGTGAACATTACCAGTTCCGTCTTTGTTGAATTTACACCAAGGCCGTTTGTTCTGGCCCAAGGCGACAGCGTCAGGCTCTTTGCATAAGCTCCGAGATTGTTGACGGAAATTTTTCGGAAATCAATATCACCTCGTCGTCCGCATAAGCTACAACTTTGATACCTTTCCCCTTCAGTTCCCTCAGTATATTATTGATTACCAATAGCCATAGTAACGGCGATAGCACCGCTCCCTGAGGTGTGCCTCTAGTTACCTAATGGTTAAAAAAATATTCTTTAAAAAAATCCACGCATATTGTTGGTTGAAAAAAAAATATTCTTAAACAAATCAGGTTATTTATTGCCTATTGCTATCCTATCCTATTGCTCCTTGGAAACATTTTTTTAAATATCCTCGTCTTTTGGAAATATTATTTTTTTAAATCCACGCCTACTGTTCCTTGAAAAAAAAATATGTTCCAAGTAGGAAATAATTACGAATTATAAATATTTATTTTGATAATTATGAAAACGCGTTTTCTAAAGTTCCGTTCGTCGACATCACTGTAAACACAAAAGTCCGCTCTCTCTCATGGAAATAAACTAATTGTTGAGAGTAACTAACTTCTCATCTAAGCTTTTTTTTTCAAAACTGTTGACTGACTGTGGGTGTATTGGTAATGGGGATAGAAAGACAAAACATAACAAAATAAAAACAAAGAATGAAATAAACAAAAAAATCCATTACGCAGTCTTTTCTTAGTCACTGTAGTGATTTGTTGTGTATTTTTGTGTTTTGTGAACACTTTTCACCTTTCAAGTTCACAATGTATTCGAGTGAAATTGAAAACAAATTTTGATAAAAAATTCAATTTAAAATTATTAAACAAAATAATAGTGGTCAGAGTTTTGAAAATTGCAAAAAAAATTAATTATTATTCCACTACAAAAGCAAACAAAAAATGTTGGTTAATAAACAATAGTCATTGTTGTCATGTGGCGTGACTGAGTGACTGACTGGTGGGTGCTACAGTGAGGAATAGAAGAACGTGTACAGTTGTGTGTATTGTAAAAAAAAATTGTCAAGTATCTGGCAAATTTTTCAAAAAATATTCGAGTTAATAAAAAATGTCTGGTTAATGTTCGGATTGCAAAAGTATTGCTCAAAAATCCATACCTTTCCAAAATCTCATTTATTTGAGGTTTTCAAAATTTTGTTGAAATCAAGTTTTATTTGTTGTTGTTATTGGAATTGAAATTTTCCTTCCTCCAACAAAATGTTGCGGTCCACATCAATAAATTCATACCCTGGTGAGTATCTACGAACTTCTACAAATAAGTCAATGGTTTTGGATTTTTACAGAATATTTGTTCCAATCAGCAATAGGCGTGGATTTTTTCAAAATATTTTTTCAAGGCGTGGATTTTTTAAAGAATATTTTTTTAAGGCGTGGATTTTTTAAAGTATATTTTTTTAAGACGTGGATTTCTTAAAGAATATTTTTTCATAGCTTGGATTTTTTAAAAAATATTTTTTCAAGGCGTGGATTTTTTAAAGAATATTTTTTCAAGGCTTGGATTTTTTAAAGAATATTTTTTCAAGGTGTGGATTTTTTAAAGAATATTTTTTCAAGGCGTGGATTTTTTAAAGAATATTTTTTCAACGTGTGGATTTTTTAAAAATATTTTTTCAAGGTGTGGATTTTTTTAAAGAATATTTTTTCAAGGCGTGGATTTTTGAAAATATTTTTTCTAGGCGTGGATTTTTTTAAAAATATTTTTCAAGGTGTGGATTTTTTTAAAGAATATTTTTTTCAAGGCGTGGATTTTTTGAAAAATTTTTTTCTAGGCGTGGATTTTTTAAAAATATTTTTCAAGGCGTGGATTTTTTTTTAAATATTTTTTCAAGGCGTGGATCTTTTTAAAGAATATTTTTTCAAGGCGTGGATTTTTTAAAGAATATTTTTTCAAGGCGTGGATTTTTTAAAGAATATTTTTTTAAAGCGTGGATTTTTTAAAGAATATTTTTTCAAGGCGTGGATTTTTTAAAGAATATTTTTTCAAGGCGAGGATTTTTTAAAGAATATTTTTTCAAGGCGTGGATTTTTTAAAGAATATTTTTCAAGGCGTAAATTTTTTAAAAATATTTTTTCAAGGCGTAAATTTTTTAAAATTATTTTTTCAAGGCGTAAATTTTTTAAAAATATTTTTTCAAGGCGTAAATTTTTTAAAAATATTTTTTCAAGGCGTAAATTTTTTAAAAATATTTTTTCAAGGCGTAAATTTTTAAAAATATTGTTTCAAGGCGTAAATTTTTTAAAAATATTTTTTCAAGGCGTGGATTTTTTAAAGAATATTTTTTTTAAGGCTTGGATTTTTTAAATAATATTTTTTCAATGCGTGGATTTTTTTAAAGAATATTTTTTCAAGGTGTGGATTTTTTAAAGAATATTTTTTCACGGTGTGGTTTTTTAAAGAATATTTTTTCAAGGTGTGGATTTTTAAAAAAATATTTTTTCAAGGCGTGGATTTTTAAAAAATATTTTTTCAAGGCGTGGATTTTTAAAAATATTTTTTCAAGGCGTGGATTTTTAAAAATATTTTTCAAATATATTTTTCAAATATATTTTTCAAAAATATTTTTTCAAGGCGTGGATTTTTAAAAATATTTTTTCAAGGCGTGGTTTAAAAAAATATTTTTTCAAGGCGTGGATTTTTAAAAATATTTTTTCAAGGCGTGGATTTTTAAAGAATATTTTTTCAAGGCGTGGATTTTTAAAGAATATTTTTTCAAGGCGTGGATTTTTAAAAAATATTTTTTCAAAAAAAATATTTCTTCAAGTCGTAGATTTTTTAAAAATATTTTTTCGAGGCGTTTTTTAAAAATATTTTTTCGATGCGTTTTTTAAAAAATATTTTTTCAAGGCGTGGATTTTTAAAAAATATTTTTTCAAGGCGTGGATTTTTAAAAAATATTTTTTCAAGGCGTGGATTTTTAAAGAATATTTTTTCAAGGCGTGGATTTTTAAAGAATATTTTTTCAAGGCGTGGATTTTTAAAGAATATTTTTTCAAGGCGTGGATTTTTAAAGAATATTTTTTCAAGGCGTGGATTTTTAGAGAATATTTTTTCAAGGCGTGGATTTTTTAAAAAATATTTTTTCAAGGCGTGGATTTTTAAAAAATATTTTTGTCAAAGCGTGGATTTAAAAAAAAAATATTTTTTCAAGGCGTGGAATTTTTAAAAAATATTTCTTCAAGGCTTGGATTTTTAAAGAATATTTTTTCAAGGCGTGGATTTTTAAAGAATATTTTTTCAAGGCGTGGATTTTTAAAGAATATTTTTTCAAGGCGTGGATTTTTAAAAAATATTTTTTCAAGGCGTGGATTTTTAAAAAATATTTTTTCAAGGCGTGGATTTTTATTTTTTCAAGGCGTGGATTTTTAAAAAATATTTTTTCAAGGCGTGGATTTTATTTTTTCAAATTTTTAAAAAATATTTTTTCAAGGCGTGGATTTTTAAAAAATATTTTTTCAAGGCGTGGATTTTTAAATAATATTTTTTCAAGGCGTGGATTTTTAAAGAATATTTTTTCAAGGCGTGGATTTTTAAAGAATATTTTTTCAAGGCGTGGATTTTTAAAAAATATTTTTTCAAGGCGTGGATTTTTAAAGAATATTTTTTCAAGGCGTGGATTTTTAAAGAATATTTTTTCAAGGCGTGGATTTTTAAAGAATATTTTTTCAAGGCGTGGATTTTTAAAGAATATTTTTTCAAGGCGTGGATTTTTAAAAAATATTTTTTCAAGGCGTGGATTTTTAAAGAATATTTTTTCAAGGCGTGGATTTTTAAAGAATATTTTTTCAAGGCGTGGAATTTTTAAAAAATATTTTTTCATTTTTTAAAAAATATTTTTTCATTTTTTAAAAAATATTTTTTCATTTTTTAAAAAATATTTTTTCATTTTTTAAAAAATATTTTTTCAAGGCGTGGATTTTTAAAGAATATTTTTTCAAGGATTGGATTTTTAAAAAATATTTTTTCAAGGCGTGGATTTTTAAAGAATATTTTTTCAAGGCGTGGATTTTTAAAGAATATTTTTTCAAGGCGTGGATTTTTAAAAAATATTTTTTCAAGGCGTTTTTTAAAAAATATTTTTTCAAGAAGCCAAAGGGCGTGGATTTTTTAAAAAATATTTTTTCATGAATTTTTAAAAAATTTTTTTCAAGGCGTGGATTTTTAAAAAATATTTTTTCATGGATTTTTAAAAAATATTTTTTTCAAAACGTGGCTTCAAATATTTTTTTAAGGCGTGGATTTAAAAAAAAATATTCTTTCAAGGCGTGGATTTTTAAAAAAATATTTTTTCAAGGCGTGGATTTTTAAAAAATATTTTTTCAAGGCGTGGATTTTTAAAAAATATTTTTTCAAGGCGTGGATTTTTAAAAAATATGTTTTCAAGGCATGGATTCTTAAAAAATATTTTTTCAAGGCGTGGATTTTTAAAAAAATATTTTTTCAAGGCGTGGATTTTTAAAAAAATATTTTTTCAAGGCGTGGATTTTTTGCACTTAGTCCCTTTACCATGCCATCGAACGATTCGCAAGAACATTTGCACTTGACTTCCCGTGTCTGAGCACTTGTCAACCACTTGTAAGAGGAAATAATTTAATAAAGACCTGCATACCACTACTACAAACAATAATATCTAACCACATTTCACTCTCTTCTATCTCTCTCTCTTTTCCCCTTACAGCTTTATTGCAATCTCTCAATGCGGCCTCCGTGCAATTTCCAAAATTAGTCAATGGAACAGCTGAGCCAGTCGATGCCTCACGTTATGAATACGCAATCGATGGTAAGACCACCATCAGTCGAACGGGTTTAGCTCAAAAGGACGGTCAGGATAACGTTGATCCGACTGCAGCGAAATTCAATATGCCGACAAAGAACGGTGATGGTTGTGCAGCAACAAATCTAACGGCACTGACATGGGCTCATGCAGTCAATAGCCAAAAGGAGCTAACGGAAGCTCTTAACAGTAAGTAAAGGAGGCGAAATGAAATGTGTTGAATGTTCGGTTGAATTCTAGAAATGAAAATGCTACCAAAATAAACTGCTGGAGGCTAACATGAGGCGTATACATAATAGTTATTAATTTTTAAAAGACCTACAATAAAAAATTAAATGCAGGACGAGAGTAAAAATGAAATAATTATTTGAAGACCAGAAAGGTCTTCCTTCGTGTTTTGGAAACAGTAAAAATCATTTTGAGAAACATAGAAATGCCCCACACAACTCTGGTATAGAGGTCCAATGAATCAAGCCTTACTTTCATTTAAGGTTTTCCCCCACATCGTCCTCTCTCTATTTTCTAAAAATAAATCCGTTATCTAATTACATTTCTAAATTTTTTCCAGGTGACATTGATATGATTGAGGCCGATATTGTTATGGGCAAGATTAATAATACCGGTCCCGATATGCCTGTGATGGCCCATCCACCAGCCAACAATTCCGACATTTCGCTCGAATCCTTTTTACAACAAATTAAGAAATACAATGACGGCAACAAAGAGAAGATGAAGGGTGTTAAATTGGATTTCAAATCGATTGAGGTGTTTGAAGGTGCTCTCAAAACCTTGGAAGACAAAATACCCGAGGTAACTATTTCAAATCACCAATATTACTTAGATACCACTATTAAAATATTTTGTCTCTCTTTTCCCCCAGATGACCTATCCGATATGGTTAAATGCTGACATCATAAGTGGTCCCGTCAATCAAAACAATACCATACCCGTTGATCCACAACGTTTCTTCGCCGGCTCCTCCAAATTCCCTCAAGCCGTCCTCTCAATTGGTTGGACCACAAAATGGTCATCGGATTTTAATAATGGTTCATATACATCGCAAGAAATCGATGCCATGATTTTAGCCATTAAAGCAAATAATATAACCGAGACTGGGCAACCGATAACATTCCCTGTGCGGGCTGGTATTGCTGCCAATAGCCAAGAGGAGTTACATGATTTGGTGAAAGCAATTAATGGCACGAATACTAGTACCCTTACCATATGGTCTTCACAAAACGATTATGTTGATATTGCCAAATTGAGGGAGTTGATATTTTCATTTGGTTTCGATCGTGTCTACTTGGATGTGCCCGAAGAGGTATCAAGTCAATTGGATTTGGGACGTGAGGATAATGAAGACAGTGGAAGTGAGAATGGTGGCCCGCAGGGCAATGGTGCCGAGGGTAATAACCATGCCCTAACATCTTTGGTTAACTTTAGTTTAATAAGTGCTGGTCTTTATTTGTTTAGTTTGTATTTAGAGAAACTTCGACTTTAAAAGAAGATGATCGGATTTTTGTGTTTGTAAAGAACTTGACTAATGTTTTATGTACTTTGACGATATGATACGATTTTTACTGATAATAAAAAATAATAAAAGAAACGAAATTTAATTATTGTTGTTTCTTAAATAAAAAAAATTTGAAAATATATGAGTCCAAAAATAATATGATGTTAGGTGAGTGGGTTTGGCTGGGCAGTTGAATAGGTGAAGCGTGTAATGTGGACCATCACCACATGCCGGGCAGATATTATCGACCGCGCCGTCAATTCGTGCCCAGTATAAATCGAGGCGGCTACACCATCCTGATCTCAATTGTGCCAATATCACTCTGGTATGTCCAGGTAGCTGCTGCTCTTCTGCAGCTATCGTAGGCGGGTGATCACCGAGGATTGTATTCACACGATAGTATCGCTTCCTCAACTGCATTCGTGTGTGTACGATTCAATACTGCTTGATAGGCCTATTTATCTAGAGGTTCCCTTTTATTTCTTTGGACCTCTCTCTCTCTCTCCAGATCCTGAAGACCCTTCCAAACATGCCTAGATGGTGGGTGCTTATCCATTTTGTAACGATGTGGACGGATACACAAGCTATATCGAGAACATCTTGTTGTGTTGATGCACAGAAAGAATCTTCGTCTCCTCACGTAAGTGGTTTATTGGAGTCATGAGGAGACATTCTGTTGCAGTCCTCAGGGCGGCATTCTGGCGAGATTCAAGACTTTGCCACTGCGATGCACTGACTTTAGGGGACCACCACCGCATAGCTTAGCACAGACCGTCCTATTGCTGTGTATGTGATTAACAAGATTTCTGTGTCAGCTCCCTAAGATCTGCCGTCTAGCAACTAGAAAACCTTGTTTCTGCTCCTGATCTTATCGCAAATAGCTGTAGCATGCGCAAACGACTTATAAAGGCTATCGAATTTGACTCCTAGAACCTTGAGGTAATTGGTGGAGTCCATCCGTTATATGTGTGGAAATGGCGTGCACAGCTGTTGTAGTACTGTGCTGCTTCCGGAACCCATGTTGATGCCCAGCAACAGAGTAGCATTCACCAATCCTAGGGAGTTGTAATGCCTCAAGTGTCTTAGCTACTGGCGACAAAAGTGAGATCGGCCTGTATGACTCACCTTTGCTGGCAGTCTTGCCTGGCTACAATAGCGGGACCACCCTGCCCATTTTCCAGGCATCGGGAACTATTAGGGTAGCTAACGACAAGTTGAGAACTCGGGAACTATTAGGGTAGCTAACGACAAGTTGAGAACTTTAGTTAGGGACTCTACTCCTGGTTCATCAAGCTGCTTCAACATCACCATGGAGATTCTGATGACACTTGCAACATTCTCCAACGTATTGGAGTAATTGTGGTGGTTCCTCCTTCACTTGAAGAGATCGTTCATTTCGGTGTATTTCTATAAGCCGTTAATTTTAAATTTAGACCAAATTTAGCTATAGCAGTAGGCTGGGTTGAAATGATACAACTTCCTGCACTTATTATAGCCGGAACTAATCTGCTGTGGACGATGTTTTGATAAACCGAACAGAACGACGGTCTAGATTTTTTTTCGTTTCTGGCATAGATCGAAATAACCCGAAACGAGTATGAGATGAGTCAAAATAGAAAACTGAGAACGAGAAAATACAGGGGCCGAAACGAAGTTGTTGTTTCGGGTCTACGCTGTGTCAATCAACATTTGTCGTGACTTAGATTCTTCATATTCGTCTCTTATATGAACATTTGATTTAAAGACTGTGTCAAAATTATTTGATTTTGAATTTAAATTCCGACGAAAGGGTTTTCTACTTACGAAGAGGATTTTCGATTTGTTTAACATCAAACGCCTACCATCGTTTATTTCGGTTTGCTGTGGAGATAATTGTCTTTATCATATTTGATTTGTGAGCTCAATGACTCTGATTAAAATACAATAGTGATATTCCTTTAAAAAGGTATTCGTTGCAGCTTCTTCAAATTAATAACTTTAAATGCAAATATGTCAAAAATGTGAGATCCATTTACAGCATCCAGCCAGCAGGTATCCGCAATTTTCGATGTAGTATTTCTTTCGTATTATTTATTTTTTATATGATAAATTAAATTGCTTTGGGTTATTGTATACAGTTTATAAACATAATTTACATATGAAGACCTTAATATGACTATATATTAAAAAAAAATTAAAAGCAAATAAAAGCATTTTCTTTACAGATTAATAAAAATTAAAAAAAATAATAATATTATATGACTAAAATGTAAATTTGCTTAAAAGCACCTGTTGTGTTCTATTATTTTTTTGGAAGCAAATTTTGGGCTTATGTTATGTTTTGGGGAAAGATCAAGAACATTTTTGAAATGTATACTAAGATAGTCTGGATCAAAATGGTAACAATTTTCAATAGACCACATTTTGCGAGGAATGACTCTTTAAATAAAAACCTATTACATTATGATAAGCTGCAGTTTTTTTCACTAGCAGTCCCTGTAGCTAAAATTACAACGGTATAGATTTGTCCTTCGAGAAGTCTATACTTTTTCGACTCCTTAAATTATCCATTATTTCATTTTTTCTCTTATATGCCTTTGAATGACCTCTGCCTATAAAAATCTATAATATAATGTTATATATGGTTCGCATAATTATTATTTGAAATTTTCATACAAGGACTTCTTCAAAATGTTACCATTAATACCATTTGGATGTCCATATCTCAGCAAATATGAAGTTCCGCAAAGACACTACAATGATATCTTTCTAATCAGGGCCTCTGATGCTACATATAGTAAACATTTCAAAACGATCCGCTATCGGTCCCTTAAACATGACGTTAGCCCTTGTTTTTTTTCACATTTTGAAAGCCAAATATTGCAATAAAATTTTTCTTTGGACTGGTCTATTTTTACTTAGCCAATGTTTGACGATATCTTGAGATTACTTAACAAATTATAAAAAAAAATAATAAGAGAGCACACAAAAAAATTCTGAACTTATTGTAGTGTTAAAGAATACGAAATAATACGCAATGGTGGATGCTCCAAATCCACATCTCGGAATTCATGGGTAAACGATAGAATATAAAAACTGAACACGGTGGCAATAACCCATTCCGAAATCGAACTTATGACATGGAAATACCAACCGCCATCAGAGGGATACCTGTTTTTTGTTTGACGAAAAAAAATACGATTTTCAATTAACATAAAATCAGAAGAAAATATATATGGGAGCTATATCTAAATCTGAACAGATTTTCACGAATCTCAGCAGACATCATTCTAGGATCAATTCAGTACGCTATGCCAAATTTCGTGCAAATCGAAAACATATAGGGACTTTGGTGCACAATTTACATAAAATCGGACGCAAATTTATATGGGAGCTATATTCAAACCTGCACCGATTTTAACGAATCTCAGCTGACATCATTCAATACTCAATTCAGTATGCTATGTCAAATTTCGCGCAAATCGAATGATATATGGGGACTTTGGTGCACCATTTACATTAAATCGGACGAAAATATATATGGCAGCTATATCTAAATCTGAACCGATTTTCACGAAATTTAACACACATTATTCTAGACTCAATTCAGTATGCTATGCTAAAATTCGTGCAAATCGAAAGATATTTAGGGTATCTGGTGCACCATTTACATTAAATCGGACGAATATATATATGAGAGCTATATTTAAATCTGAACCGATTTTCACGAATCTCAGCAGACATCATTCTAGACCTAATTCATTACGCTATACCAAAGATATTTAGGGACTTTGGTGCACAATTTACATAAAATCGGAAGAAAATATATATGACAGCTATATCTAAATCTGAACCGATTTCACGAAACTTATCAGACATCATTCTAGGCTTAATTCATTACGCTGTGCCAAATTTCGGGCAAATCGAAAGATATATTGAGACTTTGGTGCACAATTTACCTTAAATCGGACGAAAATATATATGGGAACTATATTTAAATCTGAGCCCATTTTCACGAAACTTAGCACACATCATTCTAGCCTTTATTCAGTACGCTTTGCCAAATTTCGTGCAAATCGAAAGGTATTAAGGGTCTTTGGTGCACAATTTACATTAAATCGGACGAACATATATACGAGAGCTATATCTAAATTTGAATCGATTTCCACCAATTTCAATAGGGTTTGTCCTAGAGCCAAATAAATAAGCTGTGCCAGATTTCATCCAATTCCGATCAAAAATGCGACCTATACTTTGTGTACAATTTAACATCGACAGAAATTGTTTCTATGCATATTTCAAAAGGATCCATGTGTCGATCTCGTTTCCTTTTGTCTGATACAAACCTATGCACAAAGACCTAATACCTTGTTTCACTGTGTGGTGAAGGTTATAAATATGTACATTTCAAACTCACCATTTCCTTGGATTTGATCCTTTGAATAGAATGTGTGACATGACACCCGTTACGGCCAGCAAAATAAATAAAATCGTACAACACACCGACATGCCCAATCTTAAATGGGCATTTGGTTTTGTACCCGCTATCGGATAGATCATATACGATATCAAGGCTTGCATCCAAAAGTATAGGGTGCCAAAGCCGAAACAACAGAATGCACCAATAAAATGTACCACACGTACATTTGTTTCCTGGAAATTGCCCACAATGCTAATGCCCAGACAGGAGGCAAAACCAAACCATACCGCCAAACGATTATAGCGCAACAGATTTGTACCCAAATCCGGATGATGTTCGAAGAGTTGTAATATCTGGCGATAACGTATGTAGATTGTAATGCCCACTATAAAATAAAAATAACAGCAAAAACAATAATTATTTCACAATTAAATGTTAATGAATCACAGCGAGTTTGGATAAGTTTGCAGGGTAATCCCCCACAAACTCAGCCACACATCTACTCACATAATACACTGCCAATATTTATCATTTGGCCAAATACACAACTCTCAGGTGAATAGGTGGCTGCATCACTGATATAGGGTACGGTGGGTACAACATGACCTTGCAATACGGCCGCAATGTAACTGCAACACGAACCGAAAAAAACAAATTTTAGAAATTGAATTACCAACAAAATTATTTCTCAGAATCCAACAACAAACAAAGCCCAACAACGCAAAATCATCTTCCAAGTTATTTTCTTTCATTTTTTGTTCAATCAAAAACTTACGTTCCCAAAAATGTAACTTGAAATACAAGAAACACAGCAACTGGTATTAAATAAACTTTAGACATTTCTTATCCTGCTTGACCCCAAAGGTGATAAGAAATTTTGCTATCCGTTGCACTTTTCGAGACCACTAGCCGCAATTTACAACAAAAATAAATTAATTTAATTTTTTTTTGCAAAAACAGCTCTTTGTTTATGTTTGTTTCTATTATTTTTCAGTGATTGCGTGAGAGAGAGAGTGGCGAGAGCAAGTGAGTGTTTTGTTTGGCAAATGTTGTCAAATTGGTGCAGTGTAATTAGTGGATGTTGTAACGTAAATACGTATTGGTAACGTAAGCGATGTGTTCGTTGCATTTAAAGCAATAACTGGAAATGTATTTTAAAAACAACAACAAAATATAATTCGGGACGTCGGAAATTTGGGAAAAGACATTATTAGAGGGCTACTCTAAAAAGTGGACTAATATTGAGCATTTTTGCTACCCAATGATATCCCAATAAAAAACCAAATTACAGGCAATCCTTTTGAAAAAGGTGCAGAAAATACCGAATATTAGAGCGATAATAACCGTTCCGTACCAACCTTAGTAGCAGAACGGGAACTTCAATAGACGGGAAACAGGAACTTCAATAGAACAACATTTAAGCGAAACATTTGTACGAGCTATGTAAAAACATGATACTATACATATTGAAAAATTTTGAAAGAAGTATTATATTTTGTCCACCAGTTTCCGGAAAGCATATTAAAGAAACTTCGGTGTGGAAAATCTGATAAAGTTTAACCCAATGAACTGCTTAGTTTGTTTGTTTAGATGTTACAAGCCAGCATTTGTTCCATAAGTTGAATTTAAAAAAGATTTAGAGGCGCGTCGGTCTTGTGCGCAGATCCACCAATTTGAAAAACCATGTTCCGAAATGTTGTCTTCCACTAGAACATTCTTTCGGATTCGTGGCATAACTCTTCTGCGTGAACCATCAGATGGTTCGCTTTTATATGCCTTTTGAGCTGAGGCGTGCTCATCCAATCTTACAACATAACCTAGCCAACTTAGTCGCTGCTAGACTATGACAACTCATGGTTCATTCGACGGCGATATTCACCGCCGACGCAGATCGGCCCATAGATCTTTAGGAGAATTCTTGTCTCAAAAACTCCACGCTGCTTGCGCGTCATGCTTCAAATCCATGCAACAGCTACCCAGACTACCCATCTCAGAGTCCTGTAGAGTGTGAGTTTGGTCTAGCGAGAGTTGGCCTTGTATTTGAATTGCTTACTCAGGCCATAGTAACATCTATTGGTCAACAGTATTCTTCTTCGGATGTCAAAACGGATGTCATTAGTTTCGTTTATGGCGGTAACGACACACATAAAATCGTTCACTAGATCGAAGCTGTAGTTTTCAAGTACCACAGTTTGTCCTAGTCTACTGGACGTCTTGAGCGTTGATATGCGTTTTTGTTGATCTTTTCCAGGATCTGGCGCAGAGTGCAAATCTGGAAAATGGTAGATTTGGTCCAATAATGTCATTGACCATTGACATCAGTCGTTCACACAGCACATTGGATAGCATTTTATATGCGGTGGGAAGGAGACTTATTCCTCTACAGTTGGCACATATCGTCTTGTCTCAGTTTTTGTGCACGATTCCAATCATTAGGCATGCATTCATATAGCCAAATTGTACTAATCAGCTGGTGTATGCTCCTGACCTGCATCTAATCACCAGTCTTGAAAAGTTCGGCTGTTAACACATTGGCAAATGCTGCTTTATTATTCTTCAGCCGATTGATTGCTTTGACCTCGTCTTGGTTGGTATACACTTAATATCGTCATCTCATTCTAGGGTATCCTCTTCGTCGCTACTATTTGATAGCAGACGTTTTTCAAAATGCTCCTTCCAGATCCTCAACATCTCTACAGGAGGATGTGCCTCCACCAAATCCTTCGGTTTGGTGTTTTACACGTTGGTAAAATTTTCAGACTTGATTCTGACTCCTGTATATCTCGAGTTGCTCACATTTTTCTTGTTCTTTATTCTTTCTTATAAAAATACGTTTCCCCCATTTCGTTTTCTCCTGCTAATTCTCTCACGCTACGTGTTGCTACTGATCGTACCATGGGTTTCTTGATAGTGGTTTTTGTACCCAAGTGTTGCTTTTGGTGCAGTTTGTAGGGAGTGGGCAATTCTTTGCCATTGCAATGAATTGCTACCTGTTGCGTTGCAATTTTTAGACGTCGAGTTTCCGTGATACATTAGAACGCACATTTGCGGCTACGTTAAGACGGGTGCAAACCTTGGCAGCCACAAGGTAATGGTCCGAATCTATATTCGCTCCTCGGATCGATCGAACGTCTAATACATTGAATGAATACTTTCCGTCTATCACAACATGATTAATTTGATTTCTCGTTGCTTCATCAGGAGAAATCCAGGTGGTCTTGTGTATATCGAGATGCTTGAATCTGGTGCTGGTAACTACCATGTTTTTTGCTGCCGCGAAGTCAATCAATCTCATGCCGTTGTCTGATGTTTATTTTCTTCCAACAATGTGTTTGGAGTTTCACATACGCTGAAAAAAATTTTAATTGCATATCGTTTTGACCATTGAAATTTCCGTATGTTTCACCATATGTAAAAAAGTGACAGGTATGGCCAAAAATACTTTCCCTTGCGATTTTTGCATTAAAATCTCCTAGAAGAATTTTAATGTCATGGTCAGGGTAGCGGTCATATGCTGTTTTAGGCGCTCATAAAATATGTCTTTTGTCTGTTCATCTTTGCCTTTCGTCGGAGCAAGGGCGCAAATAAGACTCATCTACTTGCAATTCGCTCATCTACTGGAGTGAATCTGGAGACGAGGACTTTTATTGTCCTGTTAACCATAAATCCGCAGCCAAAATTCAAGTTTGCTATAATACAGGGTGTAATCATCTGATTCACTTACGCCAGTCCCTTTCCATCGCATTTCCTGTGAGACAATAATATCAGCTTTGTATTCCTGAGTACATCCGCCAAGGCGAAAACTGCGCCTGTTCTGTACAATGTGCGCACATTCCAAGTGCAAATTCGCAGATGATCAACTGATGATGAAAATAGCTACCCCGGTGACATCGTGGGGAGGTCAGTTTTAATAATTGAGATGAAAGAGAGACCAAGATAAGTCTGGACTTCGCCATGTTGAAGTCCAAAACCTGCTACATATCGCTATCCTGCACTCCGACGGTAATGTTAATTTCAAATTTCACGATTTCAGCTCTATCCCTTTCTCCAAATTCAAATTGTACCAAATTTAGTACTCTTTAGTTCTGTTCGCATACGTGGGTATAAACTTTCAAAACCATGTTTTTAGCTCTATTCATTCACATGCTACGAAATTGTAACAGATTTAGTACCTATAGTTCGAATGCCAAAAAAAAAAAAAAAAAAAAAACTCTTTGCTACATCTATTCTACAATCCATCAGTGGTTCTCATTTCAAATTTAAGAGTTCTATCTCTACCGGTTCGCCAAATACAAATGGTACCACATTTAGTACTTTTCGTAACGTTCTAGTACGAATTTCCAAAACCCAGATTGACCCTCAACCCAAATTTCAAGATTCTTGCTTCAGCCGTTTCGTCTGGGCGTTGATGAATCGTTACGTCAGTCAATTACATTTTTTAATTATGTGTTGAAAAAATTTCAAAAAAAAAATGACAGTAGAAGCCATTTCCTACATAGTTGCCTCTTTTTTATTCACCTCAAGCTGTCCTATCTTGTATTATTGCACCATGAGTTAATCCCGAACTTTTTGCGTGTATTTAAATAGTCTCCATATGAACGTATGCCTACGCCCCGTTACACACTGTAACGTCACATTTACGTACACCTAACCCCAGCATGCATGCCACTCGCTAATTGCAGTAATTGCAATTTGTTGTGCAAAAACAAATCAGCTGTTCGCTTGACAGAACAGGATAATGACGATGGACGGTTGATAAGAAGAGAGCCGTAAAAAGAACGTTTTCAAAGATAAATAAACGTTGGCTGCTGCCAATTCAACACACGCTTTTGTTGGTTCGGCATCGATTGTGGACGGATTTTCTCGTTTTGTTCGCTTTTTGGTGCGGTGGCTGTGCTTTTTGTTAACTGGTGGTTATAAAATGTAATTTGTAGTAAAAGAAAACCAAAATAAAACGTAAACATACTATAAATAAACCATTTTCAACTAAAAATAGAATTTTCTTAAAAATAAGGCAATGAAAATTGCAATTCTTACTTAACAAAAATAAATAGAAAATCACCGAAAAGAAATAAATCAATATTAAATGTCAAGAACAGTGAAATAATAAAAATAGAAGGAAAGAAATAGTAGTGTGCTTGGAATATAAAGCCAAATAAATATCAAATTAGCCGACAGACAGACAACTAGGCAACATTGTTTGTTGCATTAGTTAAATAGTGGGTGTTTTTATTTGTATATCGTTTTTATTTTTCAATTTTATTCAACAAATTAAATTTCAATGTCAAAAATTCCCCCTCCCCAAGAAAGAACCTTCCCCACAAAATTTGCAAAAATCGACCAAAAAGCCAATCAAAGGAAATTATCTGTGTGTATACAAACGAGTAGAGTTGAGTGAGAGGGTAAGTGCAATTTGTAATCAATCAATGAAAGACGGACTGTTGTTGTTGTTGTTATTGTCCGCCATGGCGGGGAGGTAAGGCGAGTCAAGTGGATACCGAATGCGTGCCATGATGCCACAATCAAAAGGAGATAAATAAGTTATCGGCAATTGTGTTTGGTTTTGCACAAACAACAACAATAACAACTGTCAACAATTGAAGTGCAGCAGCGGGCAAAACATGTGCTTGTTGTTGGTGAGAGTGCAAAAGCACTCCCATATGGTTCTCTGCATGCCATGCATGTGCGAGAGAGAGAGAGTGAACGACAGTTTGTTTTGTTTTTATGCCGGTTAATATGAGTGGTGTCAATTTGGCGATTATTTTCTACTTAAATGAATGTTAAAATAGCATAAATCAAAATTTCCCGCGAAAAAAAGATTTTATTTTAAATTAAAATGTTTTATTTGTTAACAAAACAGATAAATACCTATTTGC